CGCTCTTTCTGGGACCATGACTCATTTCCTTCTTCAAAAATTACCTTTAATAAGCAGGTTACTTTTTATTTGGTTTTCGAATGCGTCTAAACACCATACAATTCATTAATTTCTCGCTGTTTTAAAGACACTTACTGGATTTGTTTTTGAGCTTCCGTAACCAACTGGATTGTGCGCATTATTGCCGTTTTAACTGCCGCGATTTCGCCTACCGTGGCCTCTAGTTTAGACACCATGTTCGTTAAGCCTCCGATCCCCGACGTGAGATACTTTAGATTGTCCATGGTCTCTTTTCATGGCTTGCATTTCCAGATATGACAGTGTGCAGTTTTTCAAGTATTTGATCAAGCTTGGTATGAGTGTGCCCGGGGTTGGCCTCGATGTCGCCAAAACATATCAGCAGTTGAGGAGTGCAGAACGTTACTAGTAGAATGTGCGCACTAGGGAGCACCTTGCGCAGAAATCAGGCACTACTTGCGAAACTCAAGGGCTCATCCTTCTTTCTTCCTCCCCATTTTAGACAAAACATACCCACATGTGCTACATAAGAACAAAGGTCGTCACCCATTGTTTACACGGTGCACAAAGTTTTGTTTCGACCGCAAATACCTATTGTTCTGAGTATACTCAGAACAATAGGTATTTGGGGTCGGAAAATGACTAGAAAATAGAGCAACGCAGTGAGTGAGAAACAAAACGCACCTACGGCGAAAAAAAATGTTCAAAGTTAGCGTGTTAGACGCTTAACTGCAAATCCCGCTTGGGCCGATGTAGCCAGACCTTTTAGTAAGATCGACCTTGTGGTGGCGCCGGTTTTCCGATGAATCCGATAGCGAAAGCAACACCTCGTCCGTAAACGATGTTACTAATATGGTGCTGCTTTTGCGCCAATATTTGTCTCTAATATCGTTGCTAAACATTCCAAAATATGTACCTCTTTTTAAGAAGTAACAGTACGCACAGTATGTATTCGCAACAGTCTATACAATTTTGTCGCCATGAGTTCCCAGCTGCCATGTTCTCCCTTCACCGCTTAGACTCCCTGACTTTGCTCATGCGCGTCTCCAAGGAAACCGCACCGTATTTACACTGCATTTGTGCTTTCTGGTCGGTACTTTACGCTCTTACGGTCACTGACACGACCGAAGACAGCTCCATGAGATTAATCAAACCACCGATCTCACACAGACCGTGAAGAAAACGTTCTCAGTGTCAAGTAGGAGTGAATCAGCGAAGTTTCTTGAACGGCGAAACTCATGCCACTGAAGCGGCCGAATGATCGCCGTCGGGTGGCGGATCCGTTGACCAGCGTCCGCTCGTCACAGGCCTGTTAGGCCTATTCTCGGAGCAGTTCACGTCAACGCACAGACTCGCCCAGTCGAGCTCACGAACGGTGCGTATGCACACCAACACGGTAACAGGAGAACCTCACACGACACAAGGCAAAACGTCAGGTTCTCGCAGAAATTAGCGTTTCGCAAACTCCATCTGGGTCAAAGTGCTTGTTGTACAACAACAACAAAAAAAAAAAAAAAAAAGAAATTGAAAACACGAGAATACACAAAAACAACAAAAGAAGTCTTTATTTTGTTTTGTTCTTGTTTGAAAACGTTTTATGACGTGCTACGTGACTATTTTCATCCCAGTTAAAATCAAAATGAAATATAAGCGCTGCCAAAACAATGCAAACGGGAAGAAGGTCAGAAGCCGCACGGCCATTACAATTTACAACCATAATGGCTGCGCTCGCGGCAGCACTGGCTTCCCCGACGTGTTGGAACAGAAGCTTCGATCGTTATAAAGTCAGCTCCAGCCCTTAAACATGCCACCTCCTACAATATTTTACGCTACGATTGTGTATGGGTACCATCCCTCTGCCATAGCCTCCTCTATACATAGAGGAGGCTATGCCTCTGCGTTCCAAAACAATAAGTGCGTCACTAACTCTGGCGACATGCGGTGTAGCAGACGCCGCTATCTTGTACGAGCTTTTGGGGTTGTAAATGGTTATAGTGTGTTCCAAGTCACGAAGGAAGGGCGAGGGTAAGGCAGGCCGGCGAGGAGGAAGGAGACGGAACGTAAAGTATTTGACGGACCGCTGAAGCAAATACTTTACGTAAAGTATTTGGCTGAAGAAAAAAGGGGGAAACCTCCTCCTCTCTTTAGCGTTTTGTGTGCTCCCTCCTCCCCGGCCTTCCTTTCCCTACGTATCTCGCGTTTGAGGTTGTAAATAGTGAGAGGTAGTAACGACCAGAAGAAGGTAATACCTGCTGGAGTTACTACCTTTTTTTAAAGAGTGCATTCCACCACGTGGCACTTTAGATTACTTTGATACCGGACTTTTTGCTTGTAATTTTCGTAAGTGCAGTTTTGTCGTGACGCAGAAATAGAGACAGAGATATGTTTTGTTCATCAAATATAAACATTGCACCATCGCATTTCGTCCAATTGAAGTATGAAACATAATTCACATTTAACTTCATTCTTCCGCCTTTTCTGCAGCATTATATGACATACAAATCTCCAAAGTATTTAATAGTCAAAGAATTAAAATGAAACCCAAAGAAATATATTCAGGAGCCTTAATACCTTCTTCTGAAGTTGTTGCGTTTGCATGTGCCATCCCACGTTTTTAAGGTTCTCAAAACATCATGGCGTTTTGAAAATTTTCTTTTTAATTAGAAAGCACCGTTAAAATGAGCGAGAAAAGTAAATAAAATTTCTTCTGGTAAACCCCGAGCGGCTGTTAAATAGCACGAGAATCATTGCACTTCTGGCTGTATATACTTATACTACCCACCACCAGAAGACCGCATATGAGGTTTGTTAACAATATAATATATTCATGCATGAATACACATGATTCATTTGTGACCAATATTTTATTGAATATTGCGTAAGTAGGAGGATCGTGACAATATCACGGTTTCACATCGCGATTCATAATCTTTGTTTAGTGTTTCTTATAATACCAGTTGAATATGAGTACGGTCGCTTATTTCGTCGTAAAATAGATTTGTTATTTACTGAAATTTTATCGCCATGTGTGTGAATACAAATGCAAAAGTAGGAGAGAAACTCAGAATATGATCGCCAATTGTGCGCCCTACATGTGCGTCTCATCTTTTTAGAGCATGAAATGCTTTACAACAGAGCCCACAATTAAAATATTTTGTTCGTCCGTCCGTCCGTGCGCGCATTTTCCGCTATATTTAGCGGGGGCTAAACGACGTCACGTGGCATAACATCGCGTGACACATATACAAAGTGGAGAAATTAACGTCACATGACCTATCCGTAAATTCATTTCCCCCTTAATATAGCAGGAAAATTCACTTTCCGTGACCCACAATACCAATTCGATTTACCTGCTAAATTAAGTGGGGTAATCGGTGTCACGTAATGTAAACACCAATTCAGTTACCCCCTAAATATAGCGAAAAAATTAACTTCACGTGACTTATACAACAATCCAGTTTCCACGTTAAATTTAGCGGGGGACATTGACGTCACATGACCTGACGTCACGTGACCTATGCAAAATTTTGCTTCACCGCTAAATTTCGCGAAATATATATTGGTGACTCACCAATTTTTTTTCCACCCCTCACTCCTTTCTTCTTTTCAAATCTCTCCACTAATTTTCTATGGTTCCCTCCCACCCTCTCCTCCCTCTCCCCCTTCCTTGGCCATGTGACACACCAGCTTCTTCATTTTTCTCTCCTTCCTTCCTTCTCCCCCTTCTCCCGGTCCTTTTCTTAACCGTCCTACAGTGCCCCCCTGTTAGCTTCCCTTCCACCACACCTCTCTGGTCAAGTGCCAGACCAATGCAGTTTCCTCCAAAATTTATAAAAATATAGGGTCTTTACTACCGGAATGACTGTTTAATGTCAGCCAAACAATTGGAACAATCGCTCCTAAATACTGCATTTCGTGCGTAGTACGGTTTTGTCGTTAAAGGCGGCTTCCGAGTTTTTTAAATGAATGCTTCACCTCCCTGCTTTACCTTATTTGCAACTGCTACAGTTACAGAAACGGAACCCATGAAGCGCCAAAGAGTGAAACTTTAACTCTATAAAAATTTATTTATTTAAGAATTATCAAATGGAGCTAGGCGCAGTTTTAGTAGTCGACGTTGACAGGGAATCTAATGTCAATGATGGAAAATTGAAGCTTGAATATAACTTGCAAGCGCACCATTATGAAAAAAAAAACAAAAAAACTTTAAGCGTGACATGATGAGAAAACGTTTTCTCAAATTGGACTGGACAGACTTCGGTAGACAAGGTATTATGCATTACTTTATACCCATTATTGAAAGGGACTGCCGCCGGCTCATGCTTTGCGTCTTGAGGCAAGCACTCCAAAGTGACATGCTCATCGAAGGAACACGTGCCTGCACGAACCACCCGTCAGTCACGTTGCTGATGTCGACTTGGGCGTACCCACGTTTCACCGAGAAGTCGGTCTTCGGTCGTGTGGGCTAATGTCTCGGCACGCAGGAAGGAATTCAGTAAATGTTGTACGATTGCTAGCTTGGTGTCTGTCAAAAGCAATAACGGAGTAGTTATAATATACGAATTCACGCATATAAACGCCCGTCCAAACATGAAAAAAATAAGACAAGAAGTTTTGAAATTATGCCGCCATTCGAGTGGTAGATTGAAACATGGTGGAGCGAGGTTTCCTTTGCTCCACGTGCTCCATCTCAACGTGCCGCCAGACTGCGATGCACTTCTACACGCTACAATCAGCCAATCTCCGCGCCAACGCGCATCTCGTCTTTTTCCTTGACCCCTCTTTTCGTCGCCGGAGGGCTTTGCTTATATATCTCTAAAATAATACAAATAAACTTCGGCGGAAATATAGCCTTTTTTAAATGTTTTCTGGGAAAGCCGAAACAAGCGAAAACGTAGTCGTGTCGCGTGCAGGTGTTTTTGTTTTCTATTCAATAAAACGATGTTTTTTTTTGTTGTTTTTTTTGACGCCGAGGAAGCAGACACTTAAGCAAACTCGAGATAAAGATAGATGAGGTAGCTTTTTGTTTTTCTTTTTTTTTCGTCGCCAGTCGGAAGTTTTGTTTCGAAGCTTAAGCGACCTTGACTTTTTTTGTTGGGCGTTGCATCGGAGTATCGGTTATATATGTGTTTTGGAGATGTCTCAAGACGGCGATCGCGCAATCAAGGACGCGAGAACGAGCGCCTTTTATTTTTGTTTTTTTGCCGGCTTACCATTTTATTGGTCGGTCGTGCAAATAAAGACTGCTATAAAACGACGTGTGTACATGTTCCAGCTTAGTTCCCTTCAGCGTTATATTCATCGTGGTTCTTCTCAGGTGAGTGAATAAGGCATCGTATGATATTTCAAAATAAAATAGGACATATTTTTTCCTTCTCAGTTGAATCTTAGGCTTGACGACGAAGAAATGTTTTGGAATTTTTATTTTGATGTTTATTCCCGATTAAATTTGAATTACTTACATATAAACATCTATAACCTTTTCCCGGAATTAAAGCTACAATTGGTACTAAGCCTTTTGGTTTGTATACACTGCTTAGAGCCCGTTTCTAATGGTGGCATCAAATAACGATAATCTCAAGAGAAGGGGAACAAGTAGGACAAAGGACAAACACAAATCCCCAAACACAGCTAGATGATTGGTGCGCGACCGAGAAAATGGTCGCGCACCAGCCATCTAGCTGTGTTTGGAGATTTGTGTTTGTCCTTTGCCCCACTTTTTCCCCTCGTCCAAGTATTATTATCGCCATTCTTGACCAGCTTGCTTGCGCCTTTGCATTAATGGCATTAGGATCAAACAATAATTCCTTTGCCAAAAACCTCGCATTAAATGAAAAATAACATGCAACTGTAATATATTCTGCAGGCTAACTCTAAGGCACTCGACTTCACTCTGAAAATGTCTTCTTTTTTAACAAATGAGATTTTTTAGACGTTAGCACTGTTTGTCCAGTGCCGGCTACTCCATAAATTTGCGCGTGGGAATATTTTTTCGCAGAATGCATGGCTACCTGACCACGGCATTACAAGAAGGTCTCGGTCAATAGAGAGTTTTAGGGAATTGTTTTTGCACGTCCGATACGGTACCATGGGCCCACCGGTACGAACTTCACATGCGCTACCGAAGAAGACTCCCATAGGCATAGTGCATAACGGAGGGCCTGTCGTACCATATGGGATAGGCAAAAATGTTTCCCTAAAACTCTCTACTGATGGAGCCACAAAAACAATATATATATATAAAAAAAAAACAGTGGAGGCGAAATGACGCTTGCGATGCAACAGCGATCATGGAGTCTTGCATGATCTGGTAATACTCAGCGTGAAATCACAGATATGCATATTTAAGTCGGAGCGTTTTTCAGGCTTTTATTTTGCCAACGCACCCGTATTCCGAGGATTATATATTAATACAACTCTTATTTTGTATACCGCAAAAAAAAAAAAAAACTGCTATGAATTTGATTTTTATAATTTTCAATTGGCAAATATTTATTGACAAAGAAACCAACAACAGTTACACAAATTTCGAAATAACGCCGGCAAGTCACGCGGCGAGAATAATGTTGAATAGGAATAATAATATTGGACTGACTCCTTACAGCTGAAAGACCGCTACAGTAAAGCCGATATTGTTACGAGAAATGCTTTGATGCCAGCCCGGGATTGACCTTTGTAGGCCACAGTAATGCCTGTGTTCGAAAGAAAGATTTTATAAAGTCATAAAGAAACACAAATCAAGTCATGCGCATGAGTGTAGGTTGATTCATGTTTTTGCGTGAAGGTATATGGCGACATGCGTTTCGAGAATATGTAATATACTAGCATATTTTTCTCTAAAGTGAATTTCGTTCAATGACAACAAATCATCTACGGACGCCGATTTTTGTTTCTTGATTGAGAAACGAAATGTTTGTAAAAAAACTAGATTCTTAAATTTAAAAGCGCCTTTTTATTAGGGATCAACGAAATTCGCCTTGCCATTTTTACGACAAGCAAACAGCTAGAAGCGTAACTTATACGTTTGTGTCTCACTGCAGTCCCTCTAGATTTCAACATGAACGCTGCCCTCCTGTTACTGTTGATTGTTGCTGTTGCAACCGTTGGGTGAGTAAATATATTTGGCACTTCTGTAAAACAAAAAAGTGAAAAAATCGTTTTTTGTTTGTGCGAAAACATATTAGATTAGAAAGGTGATAAACTCGGTCCCGCCCAATTTAAGAGAGCGAGCTTCATCGCTCTGCCGGATCGCACTAGACCTCGAACAGTTTGGCGACTCAATTTCAAGGCACTGGTGTGCGTCATTGCTCGCGAGAGTAACACCATCCTACAGAAGTGCATCTTGAAATTTTTTATAAGTCGCATCAGAAGGCGAATGTGACTCGCGGGAATGAAAGTCCTCAAGCAATGGCCACGAACGACGTGTAGACCACGAGTACGGCTATTAAGACTAGGTGTTGGAGTCTTGGTAAGGTAATAGACGGGTAATGTCTAGAAAATAACTCAAAATAGCTCCTTATGCTCGAAAAAAGAAAAGCACAACAAGGCGACTTGAAACAAATATGAAACCAAGTATGGGCGAAAATAGTAACAATCTTTGTGTCAGCCATCATTGGTCGTAATAAATAAATTTGTTCTTTGTAATATACCATTATAAAGATTTTCATTCAACCCGAGTTGCGCATGGACTTTTCTAAATTTGAAATAAAAAATGTGAATTGTTATTTTCGTGTTACTTGAGTTGCATTAAAAATAGAAAAAAAAAAGAAATACTGATAACTTTAGTGGCGAGCAGCACCATCCATCACATCCATTCATGAAAATAACATCTTTTGCTTCTTTAAATACACAGAGTTCTGTCCACCAGTCCTCCTAATTGTAAAGATGTAACCTGTGACCCGGCGTCCTGCGCTCCTGTTACCTGTACTTGTGGGTCTCACAAGGGCTCATGCGGCTGCTGTGACTTCTGCGACAAGGTTTGCCAAATCATGTGATTCTCTTAGTGTAAAGTATTCAGTTACAAATAGCCACAGAACATAAATTATCTCTCTATCAAATTCACTGCCAATACGCAAGGGCATTTTGAGGGCTCCAGATTAACCTGCTATCTCGCTTAACGACATCTATGGTGATATTTATTCGATAATTTAGATCACTCCGGTTTACAAAAGAGATTTATACAATATATTTACAGTCTAGACATATGGAGGGCTCTTGAAGGTTGATGTTGCATCGATCAACGGTTCCAACTGGCTCTGCTCGCGCCGGTAACCTCACTTCATCTTCTTCTTAGCACATGCTCCTTGGTCTTCTTTTCCTGTGAGATGTGTAGTCGGGCGCGTATCCACATTTAGCGAGAAATGTCCTCAATATTTAATAATATTCATAATCTTTAACCTGGATAGAATCACGGTATGTAAAGACAAAATATTAATGCAAAGCCTAATTCGCGTTCACAAGAAGCTAGAGAATTATATTTTTTGTTGTAAATTTACCATTTCCTCGATAAGTTCTACCCTACAAGCGTAACAGTGCGCATTCACCACGAACTTTAATTTTGATGTTTGCCATAAAATGCATTTTACTAAAAAAAAGGAACTAGTTGAACGAATAATTAAAACAACAAAAAATAAACCCTACTTTGCCCTTCTGCAAAGGATATGCATACACCAGGTATTCCACGTAACTCGAGCCAATGGTTTAAATATATATTAGTGCATTTTAGGAAGACGAAACCAAACGAATAATTTTTTTTTATTGTCTGGAGCAAGTCAGGCTTTTTTTTGTATTTTTCCCAAATAACTAATGAATTAAGATTAGTTATTGAACTTTTGAAATATTTAAGCTAGAGCAAACTTTCCAATAATAAAGTTGTAGAGCGTCTTCGGGAACATCCAATTCAGTGATTTTTATCAAGGAATTTCTAAAGCGGTTCTGTTTTTCCGGACTTCGAAAAAGTGCCCAAATAAAAAAGAAAGAAAAGAAACACAAAAAACGCGATTTTGTCAACAGCAGCACCCCGTCAAGAGTGCTATATTCAGCATGCAGGCATAGTTTATTCAAGCCATAGTCGAGAGCGCTGCAATACAAGGTCCACATGCGCAGTCACCCGTTTTTTTTTTCATAATTCGCAAACGTTCTAGAAGCCAATAAAAGCCAATGCTGTTAATTCAAAATCCTTGATAAAACCACTGATTTAGTTCATTGGACAAAATACAAAAAAATATCCTGCCTTGCTCCCAGCAATGAAAAAATTTATTAGTTTTATTTTATCTGCCTAAAATGCACCAAATATTTTTTAACCTTGGCTCAAATTACGTAAAGTACCCTGGTTACATTAAATTATGAATTTAACCGGAATAATTAGGTCATTCCCTACAATAAAAAAGCCAATTGATCACATTGTGGTGACTGATTGATTTAGAGTATATCGCGGACTACATTTTTGGTTTTACTACTCAGAAACTTATTGATGCGCTATTTGAGTATGGATTATGGGCTATTTATAATCTTTACGCTTAGGGAAAGAAACTTGCGTATATTGGTACTGATTTTAAAATGAAACGTAGAAAGATTACAGCTTCTGGCACAGTAATAATATGCAGTTGTTTGCAAATGGTGTATAATTGTTCCACTTTAATTTTTCAAAATGTGAGTGTTCCTGGGTATAACGACATGTTGCCTTCCTTTCATTGTTGTTCCTGTCTGTTAACAATTGTCACGCTCATGTCTTTCTTCAATATTTTTTTTTCTTGTGTACAATCTTCTAAGGTGCAAAACGAGTGGACAAAAAAAAATCTAAAAGCCTCCTATATTTCACGAACAGCTAATATAAATGATGTCTTTATTTCAGGTGTTGGCGTCTGTAGATTTTTATCTCAAATTCTCGATCCCCGATATATGCCACAGGCATATATCGGGCATCGAGAATAGTCATAGTCCGAGCGGTGTTTTCCCAGTCACAAGCTCGCGCTCATAACGTTCCGCTGTACGGCAGGTTTCGGTAGAGCCGTACTGCTTCCTGGGTCACAAAATAAATGTCATTCTTTAGTTTCTGAATATAGGATAGGCTCCAGCGAAAATTGCGGCCGAGATCTTCGCTGCCCACAATGTCCATTTATAAAGGAGGAAAAGCTGGCTTTAACGTCGTTTAAAACAGAATCTTAAAATTGCGCATAAATTAAAACTGGTAAAATTTTACACACCGTCTCGAAAGGAGAGTATCTGCTATTATTCGGGGGGATGCATCTGTGAAAATATCGCGGAACTTAAAGATGATATGAGCGAAATACTTATGGCATGTTTTAATTCGTCTTTTTTAAAATATTGCAGTGTGCTGGCGAAACATGTATTAAACTTCACAATGAACGTTGCCAAGAAGGATACGAGTGCAAGCTGAACGATCCGGAGGGCAACATCTTCCAGGGAGCCCCTGGTACATGCGTAGCAGCCACGCCCCACGATCACGCGCACCACAACAAATAGGGGGAAGAATGAAGATTTGATAACATTTCGTTCTCGAACTTCTGTAACAAATCATAATATGACGAACGTTTGCCGGAGTGAAGAATGATCCAACCAATACCACAACGAACATTGATACAAGTTTCATGTTAGAAAATGGGAGTGCACTTCGCTATGAGAACGAAATAAAACTTGTTTTGGTGGCTCATTAGACGTACTACCAACCTCTTTTGTGGTTCGTGCGTTTTTGATTATGGTTCTAAGTGATTTTGGCTGTAATGTGTTTTCTTTTCCTGTGAAAATGTAGGACCCTGAACAGCCGAACGAGCCAGAGAATAATCAAACTTGATATTCCTTTAGCCGAGTCCGGGCATTTTGACCCAATATTGCCACATAGTTAGGCTTTACTGCCTGCTTGTTCGGTTATCCCCTGGCATCTTCGGGTTTAAATTACAAAACAAGAGCCAGAATTAGGCCTCATTTGAAATTGTTCGTTTGATACTTGCCATTTTTGGCTTCTATCTGGCTCTTTGGCAATTATGTGGCGAACCAGAAAAAAAAAAGTCAGAAGAAAAGTACTTCCGTACTAAGAACGTATAATACCCTGATACGCCCACAGTTAGGCCACCAGGACTGCCAAACTTCGGATCTAGTTTCGCATCTTTTTGTCGTGCTGCTTGGAGCGTATATCTCGGTTATGATTTGCCTCCTGAACGTAGAACGTTGAGGCAGCTAACCACAAATTGGGATCTTTAGGAATACACTTTAAGGGCTATCCCATAAAAGTCAGACGAGTTTTGAATTACAGCTGTATCTGGCCAAGTCTCAAATATTCCTGTACAATTTGTGGTTTATTTTAGATGTTGGTGACACGGCATATTATATATTAGAAATATTTTATGTCTGAGGGCTACGGATATGACAACAATATTAGAGCAATGCAAAATGGTTGGAAAAGTCATCAATGAAGCGAAGCTTTCCAGTCTTTGTGCTGATGACGGTGATAAAAACAGCAGTGAGCTCAAGAAAAAAAAGTTGACGCCGCTATATTGTTAATTCCAGAATAAAAAATATAACAAATCAAGGGCTAAACAAAAGCGATTCCGCTTGCAAAAGTTTAAGCTCGGAGCTTAACGAGCCAGTCGTTTTACTTCCAGAAGAAGTATGCTTTTCTTATATAATGTCTGAAGCGTTATGGGAAAACGAGCAACAAATAATACTGAAGTGAATACCAAGAAATTATTATCGCAGAAGGTTTGCTGCCTCTTGTTATAATCTGGCGTTTGCCCATGTCGGAATAAATTATATTGTAAGTTTATGGGAACAACCAATAAGTAAAAATATACCTCCCCGTTTTATAAAGTTAGTGACATCAAATTTATATGTTTTATATAAGTCGTTATGTAGGGTAAACGTAGTTGTAGGAGATGTACAATGCGATTGCATGACATATTAATTTTGCCCCAAAACTACACTCTAAAAAAAGCCCGTGCGTCTGCTTTCCCGCAAAACACTCGGAGAGCAAATCACCGTAACTTACGGAAGCAGCTCAGCTAATGACAATGCCGAAACATATGTTTAGACGAAAACCGCAGTCTGAGTTGTGACATTAAGCAATGCAAGCGTGACGTTTTGCATTGCTTAATGTAACAACGCAGACTGCGTTTTTTGGTCTAAACATATGTTTCGGCGTTGTCATTCGCTGAGCCGCCTCCGTAAGTTGCGGTGATTGGTTCTCCGAGGGTTGTGCGTGAAAGTAGACGCGCAAACGTTTTTTAGAGTGTAGGTTCTTATGTAAAAACCACGCTAAGGCCAATGATCATAAATACATGTCATCGCTATTACTATTACTAAAACGATACCACAATCTATTACTAAAACTCTGATAGTCTAATCTCTTCTCGGAGGTGAAAAAAAAAAAGCTTACTCTGTTGGAAGTTTCGAATTCAATACAGTTAAAGTCGGCCGAAAATACCTAGTTTTACCGTTTCTTTTATTCCCCTCTTCCTAATGACGTCGGGGTGTAAATAATGCCCGACCATTTAAGTATTTTTCTGGGGTGCCATAAACGACTTGTTACTGAATTCCTAAGCTCACGTCAACGCCCCACCTACCTCCCGGCAATGCCTAAAATGCCCGAAAAAAAGTGAATAATGGCTGTCGCGCTCAATACCAAGGAAATAAAACTAGAGATGCAATGACTGTTGCCAGTGTTGCGGAATGGGCACCCCCATTCCATTCCAATTCCATTCCGGGGAATTAGAGTTTTCAATAATTCAATTCCTTTCAATTCCTAGGAATGGAGACACTGGGCTCATTCCCACTCCTGGAATGGCGGAATCGTTCCATTCCATTCTTTTAATTCCTAAACGTAAAAATTGGCACTTGACGGCTACATTGTATTGCCGGCATAAGCAGCATAAAGCTGACATTATCAAATGCAGAGAAAATTGCAAAAAAAAAAAGCTATATTCCTCAAAAAACGCACTGATTTTACTAAGCGGACCGCTGGTGGCACGAAGTGTTTATTTACAATGTACTGCAAACACCGAGAAAGCCCCTTGATATGTCGATGCTTGTTTAAGACATCGGTCTCGCGACCGCGTGGCTCGCAACAAACAGCAAAACTTAAATTCACTCATTTTCTTTTCTTTTTTTTTTACTGTTTTGCATTTCCCTTTTAGGACATATGCGGCCAGAGTGTTTGATTGATAAGACCAAAAAATATCCAGTTCGTGCGTGGCGCAGGAATAAGCTATATTACTGTATTCTTCAAATACAGCAACACGGCTAGTACACTGCTGGAAGCGACTCCATGCACAGCGGCAAGAACACATCCCCTGACAAAATGCAACCTCTGCGGCGCAGCACGCGAGGGACCGTATAGAGCAGGGGTCTCCAAACTTTTTGGCTAAGGGGCCGGATCGAGGCTCTCTCGCTGTCTCGAGTGCCGGAAATGTAAATGAGCAGATGTAAATGAGGAAAATCTAAATAAATAATCCTAGATATCTAAGCATTTAAACATACAATATTTAAAGTTAGAGTAAGCATGGAACAAAACGATTCTAAGGTGGATGAATGCATTCACTTTGTTATGAAATTTAATCATTTAGCTGCTTATGACATCACGCAATAATTGGAGCCCAGAAAACATACCAGCATAAACCAGAGCGCATAGGAACTTTGGCACGTTCACACAGGGCAGAAGACTAGTGAAAACGATAGAATTAAGTTATGCTGACAATATTTAATAGCTACGACACAGTACACCAAGCACAATATACATAGGGACGTAAATTAATTTGAACGTACTTAGTTACCCAGATATGAAACAGGGCATTAGGAGTGTGGATTCTGCTAATGACAATGTCCAATTACTAATTTGACCAGAGGACACGCCTTACGGTAAGCAGTTCTCTCTTGTTTTTTTTTTTTTTTTGTTTTTTTCTGGTATCTACGTTTACACGGTTGGTGCGCGCCGCGGCGCCGTTTTACACGCGCTTATTTTTTTGCCAGTAGCAGCGGGCGTGCTGAAAGTGGGCCGTGGGCCGGGCTCCATTGGGAGGACTGCAGCCAGCCACGGGCCGGTCGGAAAACCTCCGCGGGCCGGAATTTGGAGACCCCTGGTATACAGTATAGACCATGTCACGAAACCTGTTTTAAAACGCATAAGTTCACGCTTGCTTTACCAATCTTGATATTTCTTATCATATTCAATTCAATTTTTGGATGGTTCGCCTGCCCTTTCCACCCTTCGCATACTCATTCTCGTGTTTCCTCTTCAGATGGCGAATAAAGTTCGATGATATACGCCGACTGCACCGTTTATAGTTTCTTTGCACAACAGCGTGCGGCTTGTTTATTTTCTTCGCGACTAATGTTGAAAAATGTCTTCCACGCTGCCATGACTCGATCTGTACTTATCTTGTCTTCTCGTCCGAATTGTGATATTCCTCTTGGTGCTGATCGAGTGGCGGTTTCAGGCAGCGGACGGTACCAACCGATTCATTCTTCTACCTCGGTGTCGGTTGTTCGCGTTGTGGCGACGGGTCGGGCAGTCAGCGTTGACAAAGCTCTTCACATCAAGATACAATTAACGGGGTAATACCGCACCGTTCGAATTGACATTCCCCGTGTTTCCTCAACAACACCGTCCAACTGACTTCTCACCGCCTCAAACCGGGTCCAGGCCAAGGAGCACGAATGCAGACCGGACAGCCGAAACGCGCGGAAGCCAAAACCTCAGTGGCAGCTAGCACTCAGCTCTCCTTCTGAGTTGCCCTCACAGCAGCGGTCGCGCCTCGCCTGGCGCAAGACGGTCTTTCTGTAGGTCTAGTCAGTTTGGTCACACCAATAGCGGTGACGATAGTCTACTTCACCTTACAATGGACCTCAACAGACAGCACGAGAGCCATCGAAACCAATCCAGTGCTTTCTGAGTGTCGCGTGACCCTGCAGTCCCGCTCACGGTGCTGGATTGCCTAGGGTGACTCGTAGCGTCCGCAGCAGTCCATCGCAATGTGAAACGAAGTATGCAGAGACTAAAGTCCAAGGAAATGAGCGGGAATCCGCTAGCTTGCTGGTAACCCCAACCCACTAAAACATATAACAGAGAAAACAAGCATCGGAACAAAGACGAAGTAAAAGGCGGACTTACACTACAAATTCAGTATAAAAAAACAAGCCTCGGAGCAAAGCGCAAGAGGAGAAGAGGAAAGTGAATCTCGCTTTGTTTTAATGCCGAAGCAAACCCAGATTTTTCACTTCGAAGGAGTGCGCACGAATGAACGTGGAAGGCAGCAGGGTTGGCTGCCTGCTAAACAACGCTCCTCGAACTATAAGAAAACAATACCTGATCATCTTTCGGCGGCGCCCGAGTCAACGACTTATCAGAGCTCTGCAAGTTATGAGTCGCTTCCGCTCCCAGATCTCAGTCTGTGCGCGCGCGTGCATTCTACAAAGCGTCGCAACAATAACAAAAGTGCATGATGAGAAGTACGATGAGGAGTTGTGCATGGTGGTTTCGTTCTTTGCCGCTCCCTTTCCTTCTGCTTGGTGCTTGGTTTCTTGTTTCGGTCTCGTGTAACGCCATCGAAGCCCGACGCCTGCGCGTCCGTGAAAGGCGCCACGTTACCCCCCTTTCGCCCTTTGCTCTTTGCTTTGACGCTTGTTTTTCGTATTGCTTTTTTTTTTTTTTTTTTTTTTTTTTTTGCGTATAAGTTTGTTAG